GCTTCCAGTCAAATTTAGTCAAATTCCAATCAGTGGTTAAGAAGTAGTGAAAAAATTGTGGACGTTCACCTTGGTCCTTCGGACCAGGTGAGCTAATAATCAATATAAATATCTTCCATGAAGCAATTTAAAGTAGACTAATTCCACCTGGAAAGTAACCATGCATATCTAGATCTGATGTTAGTGTCAAATTTAATTTTAAACTTTCAGTTCCCCCTTACAACGTGCACAAAATGTCCTGACATTATAAGTTGTGTAACTTACCTTGAGGATAATAAGGAGTACCACCATAGATGCAGAAAGTGGAGATTTTGTCGCTGACGGATTCAAAGTCGTTACACACCTGTTTGGCTAGTTCCCTGGTTGGTGCCATCACCAGAACCTTTACAAAGTGTTAAAGGAAGAACTCGACTTTAATACATGTAACGACAAATTAACACCCTCTGTCTGGGATACATGTAGTCAACACCAGGAGGGAACTATATTCTGCCTTTCATGGCAGCTATTCATCTATCATTCAAATCTTTATGGTGATGAAATAATATCCATATTTTTCAAGCATTTTCTGTCAAAATCGTAATTTTATTTCTTTCACATTTGGTAATTGATCAAATGAGAAAATACCCCATTTCTTATTTTGCTTTGTAGAGTAACAAGGGTTGAATATCTGACCTTAAGAGTTAGCAGTTTGAGTTAAGTATACATACTTTTGGTGGTCTACCTCTTTTATTCACATGGTTCTCCTGTAGGCGCTCCACTAGTGGAAGTGCAAAGGACAGCTAAATTGACATGAAAAAAATCGGAAAAACACAGCTTAAATTTGTCAATAGAATGCAAGGCAAGTGACCTCTTTTTTAAACACATTGAAATGTAAAAATGATAAAAAATTACTACTACAGCAAGCACACCAACAAATCAATTACAAATTGTCTGATATATGTACAGTTAATGGTTCTTTTCAAAGGTCTATTGGGATCATCTTTTTTTCTTCAAGAAATGACTACAATATTAATTGACACGCATATGTAAAAGTTTGTGATTCTTCATTATACATTATATTTCACATAATTCAAAGCTTTCAAATATATTCTGATATAAACTTACTGTCTTTCCTGTTCCCGTTCCTGTAACACAACATAAAAGGTATTTTTAATTCATGTAAAAAATGACAGGAAGATACAATTCTGAACAAAAGTAAACCATGAGGTACAGATGTATCAATAAAGTCATTAAAGTTATTTAACATTTATAGATTTAGACTTTTGAATTGTATATATTTATGACCCGAATACTTAATATTTTATTCACACAACATGAAGACAAACTGATCTGGTTTACAGTATCTTTAAAATAACTGTACGAGTATTTTCATTTGAAAAATTCCAAATCTGCTCAATGTTTGCAGAAATGACCAAGATGTCAAAATAAATATCAGTTCTCACTGGCTTGTGCAATAACGTCTTCTCCATCATACACGTAGTTAAAGGTCTGAGACTGGATCGGAAATAGATAATTGATTCCTTTTGCTGCAAAATAAAAGGAAACCAACATTAACTATATGATCAACAAAAATTAAGAAATCCTAAGTCAGTGTTCAAACTAATATCTGTGTCGAAAAGCTAAACAGAATTAACTATCTACTGTTACATTCAATATAAAGTCCAGTTTCAATGCTCTCTACCAAACATGAGAGCATATGAAAATTTATTTCAAATTATTACAATTATACATAAAAAATTGTTGAGACCGATGTAAGATAATCACAAAAAGCTTGCACCTTTTAATTTTGTTACAGTCCCAGGTGAAATTCTGAAATTTGAGAAGGCTCCGTCTTTCTGTTCCTGTGTGAGTTCAGGTTCAGGGTCACTTTCCTCCTTGCCATTCTGATTTCCATTAAGACCATTTGTAGCTGTTCCATTTTCTACAGCACTTTCGTCTTTTGCAGCTTTATCCTCAACCTTCTCTTCTGGTGAACAATTTTCTTCATCTTCTTCCTTTGAAATTTTCTTACTCTGAAAAACAGAATCAAATAGAAATCAGCAACATCCTCAGTTTAAGGCTAACATTTTGATATTAAGAGAATAAATGGATCCATATACAACAAACTTTTGAATGAATAAAGATGTTGAATAGAACTAGAAAATGTCTGTAAGACATAAATGCCTCTGCTGCCATGTGAAATTAGTTTTAGTGTTCTATAAAAAGTTACAACCA